AATTTTATTTTGTATCGCAGACCAAACGGGCAATGGTGCCCAATATTATGATGGCGAGTAAAAGACCGAGGCGAAGCCGAGGTCTCTTACGAGGTTTTATTTCCTATACTGACCAAGTACGAAGTCAATAATATTAGATTTATCACGACAAACAGTCCGTATTTCAAATTGCAGAACGATAACCTCATGAATCCCGGTTTTATGATTGCACAACCGTTGCACCACCACCTACTCATGCAGTGACAATGCTGCACTAGGCACCGTTCAACTGCGCAACCCCTAAGCAGTCAAATATAAGCAGTCAATATAGCCCTAAGGAGTGAAATATGCAGGAATATTTGACTGCTTAGGTATAGCGAAAATCAATGGGAGTCAATACTAAAGGGAGTGATAATCTACAACTATAACTCTTCTCGTAGTTGTAGAAAACTGGCATGAAAGTGGAATGCGTACGAAAACGGCTGTAATGGCTACACACTGCCGATGTCTTACCGGGAGGTTCTGCAAAAGCGATTGTCATTATCTTGCTGCAAAGAAAAACTTCTGTCGAGATTTCCTTTCATTCGATAAATGAGTCGTCTTTGTGGTAATTCGCTCTCCATGTGGTAATGCCGTAGAATCCATCTGGCTTTCATGAAATTTCTGCAGTGCCACGATGTACTAGGACATGTCGCGCTTTCAGAACGGAACCGTGATTGTTCTGACGAAGCGTCATTCAACAACTTGACTGGTTGACTGTATTTACAACCATCTATCTCCTTTATTCCTGTTGTTTAATTACTGGCCGGCGTGTATTTACCGCCATATTGCCAGGTGCGTGTTTACCACCAGAATTATGAATAAAGTTTCAGGACTTGACTGGTTGCAGTATTGAAGCTGCAAGTCGAACAGGGTATGTCACAGAAGCTACACCTACAAAGTCGCTGCTAACTTGTTGAAAACTCTGAAGTGCCCGAGAAAAACACTTGCCTTTGAGCGTTGTGTGATTTGGAAATGATGGCTTGAAACACCGTCAGAAGTGTATTTGGTTCCTGCAATACTCTGTTGTTCGCTACCTTCTTACTCGGAAGAAACTCCCGTTTGGATTTGCGAAATAAAACAACCATCATCATAAAATCACTACGAGCTATCTTGTGGCTAGTGCCCAAAGAGATTTTGAAACCAAGAAAGTGGACATAGTTTACCGTAGCAAAGCGCTCTTCGCTCTACGGTGTGATATGTACTTTCGTACAGTACGAGGGGTGACAGTGCATGTACTTGTTGCATACTCCGATTGTGACCCGCGCTACTAGAGACTGTGCTCTTATTATGTCAAACCACCCTCACCCTGCCCCTGGGTTATTATTGGAGACCTGGGATTTTATTAGAGAAAATACGGCATGTTACCCCCATGCAATGTACACACTCAAAATGCTTCTCACCATACCAACAGACTGACCAAACAGCTTCATAATTATCTAAATATTCTGTTACTATCCAAATACATAAAGCTCGTAAAATGGCATTTTTTGGAAGTCCCAAAGTTCGTGTAAAATTTAAATAGCAATGAAAAATGTCAATTGTGCACTCATAACCATGTATAAACAATTCAAATGAAACAATTCCAGAAAGTTTTCGTGTGACTATCATTAGTGGAGCATCGTCACATAGTAAGAATCACTAAAACAACCAGTTTATAAGGACGTTTAGCAATGCGAAAATTCGAACTTTTTGTGGTGGTGATATTTCGCGAAAATCTATTTCGAAAAAGAAAACTTGTGAGGTTTAGCAATGCGAAATGACTTTTTCACGAAGTTATTTGAATCTTATAGTACCGTACCGTATATGCAGCTCTGTCTCAAGCAGGGGGCTGTAAAATTACTACTCCCTGCATGTAGTGACCTGTGACAACACAAATATCCACGCGAAACGACTCCCTGTAGTCAAATGCGTACCGAGAAAAGAGAAAGTTACTTTCGCAAATCACTGCAACTTCGCGTCCAAGTTTTCGAAGTTTCGAGCTTTTTTCTGTACTCATTCCCAGACTCGAATTTTCTTTCGAACTTTCGCATTGCTAAACGTCCTTATTATTGCTATTTTACGACTGTTGTCTCCTTGTCGGTTATTTAAATTCCTAAAATTTAATTAATATTAACGGTAAGTGGCCATTTTTAGTATTTCATCTACATGTCATGTGTACATACCCTGTAGAAGACGCTGACATCTTTGGATGAAGAAAATTTCGGGCCATTTTTCTCGATTTATCACTCCCAGCTTCCGCTTCCTTAAAATACGCATACCGGTAGGCATATTTGTTTTGAAAACAGTATACTGTATTTACTGCTCGATTCTAAACGTTAAAAATGAACAAAAGTGTGACGTCGTGCAACTTACCAACAACGGCCACAACCTCACAACAGGAAGTAGGAATACAGCATACATGTACAGTAGGTATCGGTTATAGCGTGGGTGTTTGAAAAGCGACTTTCTATTCTTATTTCCGATAATACACACGATAAATCAAGTGTGACATACCGTATTATCTCTAATATAAGCACAGTCTCCAATAATAGCACGTCTCCAATAATAGAACACCTTAGGGCGGCATTCAAAAAATAAAGTGCTCAGTCTCCATTATAAGCACACTGTGTAAATTCATTATCTGTACCGACGAAAAAACTCTGAAATGTGTGCGTCATACTTGAATTTGGCATGGCAACATGCCTCTGAAATGAGGTTGAAATAATAAAGGAACGTCTCCAATAAAGGAACGTCTCCATTATTAATAGCACGGGGCGGAGGTACATTCAAAAAATAAAGGACGGTGCTTATATTAGAGATAATACGGTATCATGTGCATGTGTGCAGCTAGCGCAGAGTCAGGAAGATCATCGTACAGGCAATGTAGTGTTAGTGTGCATGCGGCTCGTCATAGTCACATAGGCGTGACTATGCAACATGAGTTACATAACCAAAGCAGTTGAACCTGCAGCACTACATAGTCTACGACCCAACGCGAGTCGGATCAGAACTGCATTGGACAGATGTTATTACTGCAGGCGATAAACTGTGTACTATTAATATAAATTTGGTATATTTTGCTACACAACGTCCATTCTTAGGACCGATATATTCTACTGTCTGATAAAATTGCTTGTAAGAATAAATCTGCGCATGAAACCCATGTTATGATTATGAAAACATGAGAGTTCATTCTTGTAGGAAGAATATTCTTTTACACGACCACGCTACAACCGATATGCACTGTACTAAATAGTAACTACTCTATGATGACAACACAAGCTGCTGGGAAGGTAGACTTCTAGCTGTAAATAGCCATTGGCGGACTATGCTCGGCCAATCGTCAAATTATGCGTCTGATTATGCCACAATTATGCCAACAAATATGCTGAATTATGCTTGGTTCCACTATGTATTCACGCTGTACATAGAGGATTGAGAAACCACGCATACACACACGGCCATGCCCTAAGCATAATTTTTGCCTAAACCGAAAGATTATGCGGACCTTACACGAAATCCCAAGATTATGCCAAATATTATGCCGGCATAATCCGCCAAGGGCTAGCTGTAAAAGGTGAGAAGAAACGCACTCCACGCCTATCGCTTGGCGGATAGTTCTCGAAAAATTGGAAGATTCTGCTCGAAAAGTACATGCAGTGAAATTGGCAGAACCTTACAAACCTTATGGCAGGCGCATCCTTGAATTCTGCTCCATTTCAAGGCTTTGTCCACGTTACAAACGAGCATGAACACTAACAGAAAAACTACCAAATTCTGCCACTTTTTCGGGCGGCATCATACATGTAGTTATTATTATCCACCAAGTCCTTACGATATAATTATCCTGAACACTTTCCCTTCTCTTCTTGTCGTGCAAGAGTGAGCGTTTGAACATTCTGGTGAAAACATGGGAGTAGGCCTTGTACGCTTGTGCAGGCTTTTCATGGATTACCCCGGTACATGTATGCGCAGGCGGCAACATGCAACATGCAACAGTACAATCACATCGTCAAGTACAGTCATGTACATCATTGTACATGCTGGCATGCAGTGCTATGCTGTGAGGATTTCTCGTACCAAGAGTCCATAACCCCATGGACTCTTGCTCGTACCAACCAACAATGGCAACATGCACCAATTTTGCAACCGCGCGGGCTTTGAAAGTTTGCATGTTTGATGGCAACCTCAAACGCAGCCGATTGGTCGTAGCCTGGGAAAGGGCACGTAGGCCTGGACGTCGTTCAGAAGCACATGTACGGCCGGTTTAGCATGTTCAACAATTATTGCAACCGAAAATCTTCAAAGTGTGCTGTATGCAATGTCATGCACTGCTGTTGCAGCTACTGGACGTGTGCGAACCCTGTACGTGGGGTCAAAGTACCATGTGCCAGTCTTGTAAAATCTACAACTTTCTTGAACTGAGAACGCATCTGCTCGGGTTTGTTCGCACTGCGCTGAGAGCGAAAGGCGGAAAACTCGCAACAAGTAGTACAGTGCGACACAGTCTAGTCTACCGCCATCCCTATCTCCCGCCATTAGCACCAGCATGCATCCGCTGCGTACGCGTCAGGTATGCATATACGAACAAGAGTAACATTTGCTTGACTTTGTGAATAAACCCAAATCTCAAGTACACATCCCATTTTTTCCGCATTGGGAGCCGATCTTTTATTACCGCCTTTTGGAAATAGGCGCCACAACACTTCAGGGATTTCGCGCAGATTTTTAAAATGGGTGAAATTGTCAATCCCATCACAGTCCTGCACGTGAGCTCGTTGATGCTAAACCGCAGGAAAAATCGAAACCGGGCAGCTTTTGCTGCGTTTTGTTGGCACCTGTTGCACCTGGAGTCCTGGACTCTTGGTACGAATCAGGGAGAGATGCAAAATTTACGACTCCTGGTATGGTACGAATCGCTCCCGTACTGTTCGCCCTAGCACAAGCTGCAAGCTGTGCGCATTGCAGGGCGAAAACGTCTTTGCTCAGCAAGGAATCGCCGTGATCGAGGAGGATAAGTTGGAGAGCCGGAGCCAGAATTGATCACAATCCAACCGGAACCTTCGGATAAAGACACCTCCACCGATCCTCTTTCTAATAAAATTGTTCTAGGAAAACGTATCATTTGCTGAATTGGCTAGCGTCCGTCAAGAAGCGACTGCGACAATATATTCGGAGCGCTCTGAGCGACAATCAATTTATCAAGGTAAGTGTGCCTAATGTGTGTTTCCGGATGCATTTTCATACTCAATACTATGCCCTTCAGTTGCTACTCTGAACGAGGAGAAAATACCCCAGCAACCTGGCTATGGGGATAGCACTCCTATTGTCAGTAGCACAATTGGCTATAGTGAAGGTAGACGGTGGTATGTGGGTGTTTTTGTGAAATATTCACCGTGTTTCTCACACAGATTTCATTTGCAGTACACTTTGGCTTTCGTTGCAACCATTGACACACGGGTTTGTGGTCAGGTGTCACCAAAACTACATCTTTTTGGTGCACTAAAAGAGAAAATCATACAGATTGTGAAGGTGCAATAAATTGGGGATCTCATACCCGTTCCTTGTGAAATTGAGGCTCAAACGTTGGCACTTTTTGGTTCTCTGGAACAGAAGAAAAACCTGGATATAAGAAGCCTTTTTTTCAAAAGGACCATTTCCAAAGACAATTATTTATATGTACATGCCAATAGAATTTTGAAGAGCATAATGTGTCACTGAATTTTTGGACAAAAATCTCCATAAAGCATGTTTGTGTGTGTGTGAGCTTCCTGAAACTGCAAGGGGAATCTCAGCAGGAATGCAACAGCTGGCGGTTCAATTGGTTAGACAGGTACCACTAGTAAACCGGTAGAGCAGGCCCTTGGAAGATCAGTCTAGAAATCCACCGTTCACTTACAGCGAGATCTCGGTATACTATAATTTCACAAATGTTCGGTGCATACCCTAAAACTGCCAAAGATTTCAATACCCCGAGCAAACACTAACACACATAACCCAATAGGGAACTGCTTCTCTGTACCAAAAATTTCTGTTCACCTAACCTGGCCCTTTGCCATCATACTGAGAATATTGAGCACCTAAAATTTCTGAAATCACAGTACTCTATTAGACTTTTTCATTAAAGTCTGCATTGTAGCCAACGTACTGTTTTAGTCCAGCGGAATTCCCTAGATACATGCAGGTACCCGGGTTAGAGGTGCACCTGCTTAGTACTGTCTTTTTCTGTCGCAAGGATTGTCCTACCAAAATTGCTTGTGCACAATTGGGTATGGCTAGGATGTAGGCTGATAAAACATACACCTTGTGTATTGACTGGTTTGAGGGAAAGACACAAACGGGAAGGTCTGAAGAAAAAATTGGCTTTCACTGCAAAGATTCGAACCAGGGACCTTCGCTTGTGGCAACTTGTGTATGACGGACTTTTCAGACAGAGCAGCTGGCTTGGCTTACTACATACTATTTGAATGTGTGTCCATGGTGCCAATCAATCATTCTACGATAATAGAACAGCTGACAGGATCGCTTTTCTTAATTTGAGTACATCTTGGTGGCAATAGTGCACGAGCCAGATTGTGCCGTTTTGGTAGATTCGTCCCACAGCATGTCCGTTTGATCGGTGTTACGCAGCATGGATACGGAGCAGCAGCGCACTCTGGTTTATGTACTGTGGCATAATTCACAATATTACAACGTTTCGGCAAATTGCCTTCATCAGGTTCAATTATCCTTTTTTTCTTTTTTCATGTCATTCCTTTTTTTGCAGATGATCAGCAAAGGCTACATTACCTTGCTGGCGGCCGCCGTGCTCCTCCTCGTTGCCACGGAAACTCACGGCTGGGGAAGACCGGCTTACTTGAAAGTTCCAGGTGAGAGCCATGTTCAGCGCCATGTGTATGTGTTGTGGGGGGAGGGAGTGGGCTAGGGAGATGTGCGGCGTCGCACCGATTTTCTCCCATTGTGATTTGTGTGTGTTTACGCCGCCAGTCTTTACTCTTGACTTAACTTCGGACACAGTCATGTACCTACCTTTTTTGCTGATAATCAGACACTTGTTTCAATTTGTTATAGATGTATAGTTAATATTTAGTTATCCAGATCATCAGTGAAATAGTACCGAACTTAGGATCACCAACAAATGAAACTTACAGATAAGTAAGAGAAAATGTGCTAGATTGTCTCCTCGAAGATTATGGTCGTAAATTTCGTCTTCAAAATCGGATGTGCGACTTGTGGCCAGAAGACAGTAGTTTGCACTCTCTGACTGGAACTCTGCATTGCTTGCACGCCAGTAAAAACCCCAATAAATGTTGTCAGGTAGGTGCACGGTGGACGGCCGTGGCCAGATCAAGGGGATGGGGTTTATGCATAAAACATGGCCGCCACCTTCCTGAGCAGCAACGTTTCCCATATTTGGCAGGTACAGCCAGTTGTGTTTTTTTGGGATATGATGGTACTTACTATACGAGCTTTGATGCAACACTGGTATGTATCACAGCACATGCTTTACTGGACTTGCACTTAAAAGATCAAAATAACGGGAGTAGTATAAATAAGGTCCAGTTGGATTTTAAATGGGCTTTCTATGTACAACTGTATGCACATCAAGCGAGGCACTGTGCACGCTGTTTTCTTGACTATTGTGCCCGTCTTCTTGTCCGTGTGTGTGTTTGCGTAGACTTCTTTGCGACGTGCACCAGCGCGCAGGGCGTCCGCTCCTCATGGTTCTTCATGCCCGGCGCCCCGTGCCTGTGGGGCTGGGGCGACCCGGAACTCAGCTGCCGCTCCGGCGCCTACAGCCACACGTACAGCCAAGCCAAGCAATACTGCAACGCCCGCGGCTTTGCCGTGATGAACTTCACCGCCTACCAGGACGCGTACCTGGACATCAAGGGCTGCGTCGACGAGATGCTGGGCCGCGTTGGCAAGAGTCTCAAGCAAAGCTCGTTCATCTCCTTCTGGGCTGACGACGCCGCCATGCCGACCATGCGCACCGTCGTGCACGCGCAAAAGCACGGCCATCCCAGCGCCGGCCACGAAGCCATCAACCACTTGGACCGGCACTTTGTTGCGTGCTCCGGTAGGTCACTGCATTGTTTCTAGGGACCATTAGCAAGCCGTGAAACAACAAAGTGACAGGGGAGCTCGTTCCCGTTGACGTTTCACGGCTTGCTGATGGTCCCTAATACATGTCCCGTCTGGCCTTTCCTATACGTTACTGTGCGAGCAGCGGAAGTATTCGTCCGGACTTAAATTTCGTCCTTTTCGTCCAAGGAATGTTGGGCCTAAATTTAAATGCCGGACCGATGTCGATTTTCCCAGACACGCACGCACGCACATACACATACAAACATGCACGCACATGCATATTCATGCATGCACACCCTCGCACATGTACACAGGAAGGAGTGCATGTACACATACACGTACATGCCATTGTACACATGCATGTACACTCTAACTGTTCTGGTTAACTAGCCGTTAACACGATCTCTGCTCACTGGCAACTCATTATTCACTCGCACGGCTTCTCGCTTTCTGCTGCCACTGTTGTGCCGTGCGCAGGCGTGTGGACCGAGACCAAAACCAGGAGCAGCAGGGTATCAACGATCGGCTCTGCCACCCTGTTCCTCGAGAAGGCAGGCCTGGCATGTGCACTCCTCGGCTATCGGCTCATGACTGGCGAGTACTTGCACAATCGCGTGCATCAGTTTGACCTTCTCAAGGGCTTGCCACACGGCGAGTACAATCTAGACGGCACCGCCTATCCTTGGTTCGTCTACACGGGAACCAGCACCCGCTTCGTCAACACCAACGTCGTCAAGAAGCGCCATTTCCTCTGCCACAGTAAGTGCTGCAATCTCCGGGCGTGTGCATGGTAGTGCGAATGGTCGTGTGGGTGGTGTTAAACACAGTGCATTGCTGACGCCAGCATACTCACATACACGGTGCGTGTGCCATCCATATTTGGAAATACGCAGTGGGCTCATTCACATCTGATTTCTTTTGTTTCATTGGTGCAAAGGCAGAACGAGAACAACGGAGACAACCGGCCAGGTCATTGTTGTAACGCTGCTTTTCATGCACAAGGCTAGGGCAATCCTCAGACAACTGATATTCTGTACATCATCTGGCTGCACATTTATTTCATTGGTGTGCATGGGTGCTTGTGTTGTGTTGCAGAGGACTGTGGTTCCCACGGCGACTTGGTCGAGGACCGTTGCCAGTGCCATGCGGGCTGGGGTGGCACTTCTTGCCATTTGCGGCGAGATGAAGGTAGGAATTGTGTGGGGGGGAGGGGGAGGGGAGGGGTTTCCACTCAGAAGTCAATAACATATTGTCACTTTTGCCACTCGACTGGCTTCTGTATCTTAGTACACACCTCTCCCATATTTGGCAGCATCCAGCTGTCGGCTGTCTTCCTTTTATGGCAGTGCAACTATTTCTTCCGGATAAAAGAGGACCCGATAAGTGAGGTCTGACTGTACACTCAAATATCTCTTATCCGGGTTCCTTCAGCTTGAGTTCCTATGGCAAAAATGCTTCGAATTTGGAGGGTTTATTTGTCACTGCCAACCTGTGTAATCCACACATTTTTATCAATGGATTCTTTTGCCAAATACACTTCTTCAAAAATGATAGACGAGTTATCCCGAGATACGGGCAAACCTGCCTGCCCCCGAGGTGCCCGGAATATTTTTTAACAAATAGAGCAGCAAGAGAAACAGCACAAACAGAAGTTCTGGCCCTGCAGCAGAAATTGCAACATCTTGAAAGCTTCATATCGAGAACAGTGAAGCTTTTTGGTCATCTCGCATCTAGAATAACATTGGTGTTTTCATTCTACAGTCAAACCTCATTAGAACGAACACTGATAAGGCGAACTTTCCTTTAGTACGAACTAGGGCTAATCCTATGGTTGGCCAGGCATCATATCAAGTCAGTATTATTCGTTTACGACTAACTCCTGTACGGCGAACTTTCGTGAAGACGAATTGATTTCCAGCGTGATTTGAACAAAATCAGGGTTTAGTACGAGCTTTCGGTCCCGGTGGGTACGCTGGCTGTAGTTTTTCTCCGATAGTCCGATAAGGCCTCTTGGACTTGCAGAATATGTTACAAGACGGAGAAAATGATGTCATGAATTCATTGCACAATGTAATTACCTGTTGTGGGGTTATGTTATGTTCTACATTTACCACAGCCTCAGCTCATCATTCACCTTCACATAAATACAATCCATATGATCCAATATGATATCAAGAGAACATAACCCCCAAGAGTGTGCAGCTCCAGCTATGGCAGAACTTCACATCACGTGATGAACCCGTACACATTATTTGCACTCTGTCCATGATAGATACAGGGTTGTACGCAACCCTGCTTTGGGTACAACTCTCCCGTAGTCACTTTGGACTGTCTGCTAGCATACCCTTTTGAACCATGTCACGTGATGTGAAGTTCTCCCATCGCAGCACTGCATAGAGGCAGTCGCACACTCTTGGGGTTATGTGCTCTTGATGATATGCATATCAATTTTTTTCAAATCTGAATATTATCCAGATCTTAAAGAAGAACTCTGGATAAGACCAACAAACTTGTTCGGTCCCTTGAAGTTCATCCCAACTTCCAACAAAACGGAATGTTGGCCTACTTGTTTCGTTCGACTATGCACTTATGGCTTTGACTGGTTGTCTACTTTTTTTTTCATTTGCCCTCATGCCCAGACTCCGTGGCAGCGTGCAGCGACAAGTTTTTGGAGGGCACGTCGATCTGGATGTTCGGCCCAGGAGCGACCGGCAGCAGCGCCAATAAGATGAAATACTACCCCGCTAAGAGATTCTGCGAACAGCGCGGCTTTAGCCTGATGGACTGGAGCTCTTATAACGACAATATCTACGCCATCAAGCCGTGCGCCCGCCAGGTATTCTCCAAGGCCATCAAGGCCAAGAATGTCACGACTCTGTCCGTGTGGACCGGGTTTTCTCTCGACCGCAGGCTCGCGATTTACCACATGGACGCCAATGGCACTGATTGGGTGACCTTCACCTCTAACTACAACCAGCTGCTTTACCCGGCCTGTTCCCGTGAGTTGACCCTAGAGAATACTCTGAACAAATTATTATTTTGGAATCCCCTGGCAGAATCTCACACCTTGGGGGTCGTGTACTCTTGATGTTGCCTGCGCCTAGGCATGCACAACACCAACAAGGGCAGTGTGCCAAAACTGTGGCAGTGACTGTTGCCCTGGAAACGGGCGTCTACAGGAATTGGTATGGCCGTGTCTGAATCTCCCCTGTCCCCAATAGTTGTTTGTTTCGGCGTGGACAAGTATGGGCACAAGTTATGACCGAACCAGATTTTCAACAGTCAGACCTGCACAGTCTAGCACAACGGACAAAGGGAAAAACTGGCTGCGTTTTTTCTATGTTACAATTGTTTTCCTTGGCTCACTAACTCACTAACGGTGAGCCTACATCGTATATCGCAATATGGGAAATCTAACCAGAATACGTTTGTGTCTGTTTGATTGCCTTCTATTCGTCTTGCAGTTCAGTTCAAGAGCCAAGTGACCAGCAAGGCCGTTGTCGCCTCGATGGTCCAGTGGTACATAACCAACTATGAGACGGCCAAACAGACGTGCAACTACATGGGTCTCGACTTGCTCTTCGACTGGGAGTTGTCCCGCCACTACGCCTCGCTCCAGTCAGCGTTCACCAAGGTGGCGTTCCCCGTGCGCAACTGGGATCAGTACATTCTCGAGGGCGGCCAGTCGGTGGTTCTGAGCGATCACGGTGCACTGCAGTTTCGCTTTGGCAAACCAGGACTGACCCGCACTCTCTGTGCCAGTGAGTACAGAGTTCTTTTATACACCGTATGGCGGCATATTCGATTATGACGCCAGTCTCAGTTATAAAGCCATGGGCTTCATAAATGAAAGATATTTAAAGTTAAATTGTTAGAATCAAATGTTCCGAGTTTCGTTTACATTACTGGTCTTACAGTATACAGTGAAAACTCAGTGAAAACTCAGTGAAAACTCAGTGAAAACTCAGAGAAAACTCAGTGAAAACTCAGCAAAACTCAGCAAAAACAGTAAAAACTCTCCAGATCCGGGCAGGTTGGGACAGAGCACTGGTCGTACCTCCGAGCACACGTATATTTTTGTTTTTAGTCTGCCAATCAAAAGTATACACCGTGCGTGTACGGGTAGGCTGGCCACCTAATTCTACATTTATACACCTGAAACCTGGCAGGTTCCTGACACCGAAATTTGAATACACCTAAAATTACAGGAGTACTCGGTTTATATCAATTCAGCGAGAACAGTGGACAGCCTTTGTATACTGTACGAATCCTGTTTTCTTGTTGGTTATATGTTTTGATTGGATGTACAGCTTCGATGCTTGCAGTAGATGTACGGTACTGTTTTAGACTTTTAGTTCATCCCAACTGAGTGCATGTTCATCCATTGTGCACTCACTTGCTGTTTTCCTGCTGTGTGTGTGTATGTGTGCGGTCATGCTTGCATGCGTGCCTGTGCGTGCGTGCCTGTGCGTGCGCGCCTGTGCGTGCGCGCCTGTGCGTGCGTGCCTGTGCGTGCGCGCCTGTGCGTATATGCGTGTGTCCGTGTGCCTGCTGTGTGTGTGTGTGTGTGCATTTTTTCCTTTGCGTGTCTCAGAAATCTGCGTCCATGGTACTATGACCTCTGCCGACTGGGGGTGCACCTGTGATGCTGGATACACCGGACCGCGTTGCCAAAATTTAGTTTCAGAGTCCCCCTTTGTAGGTCCATGAAGTCTTGTACATGTTCCCCATGCTCACTTGCCTGTACAATTGTAGTTGTCCACCGACAATTGTCACTGGGCTTTAGGTCTTTTTGTACAAGCTCTTGCACGCATGCCCTGTATTCCAGCCTGCACTGATAGTTTTTAGTTTCTTCGCTCAGCCTCCTTTTTTTCTATTGTCTTTCCCTGTCTCTCTCTCTCTCTCTCTCTCTCTCTCTCTCTCTCTCTCTCTCTCTCTCTCTCTCTCTTCAATACACCTTTGTCTTTCTCTTTCTCTCTCTCTCTTCTCTCTGTCTAGTCCTTTTCACCCAACCTCTCTGTTGTACTTTCTTCATTAGCACAGCCTCTGCACAATGTTCATTAACACAACCTCTCCACAATGTTCCATGGTTTCTACTAACAAAGCCATAACGAGAGAGCTTGGAAGCCCAGGGCCCTACGAGGTGATCAGCAAAAAATTTACACGTTTGTAAACTCGCCCTGCATTCATAGCCAATGCCCTTTTTTCATGACTTATAGTAGTTTACATGGTAGAATAATCTATGACTCTTGTCATACCATCACAGTTCAACTTCCCTAACAGCAATGTAGACTTTCCCAGGTGACCCAAAATAGGTCGTTTTTTCAGTCCTCAAAATGCTTGTATATTCTTTTACATGTGTGTAAACCACAGGCAACATACCATAACAAGGCTATATGGAAACCTACACACCCATGTATGGGTACGCCACTACACAAATATCACGAATAGAGTCAAACCAGTGAACAAATTCTTGCACTTTCAAGTTCCATCTTGAAAATTGACCCACACACCACACTCACAGCAGGTGCAAATCACCGCCATTAAATAAAGAATACCAAGCTGGTGCTAGGACAAAAAAGTAATCAACTGACGTCAGGCAAGTACCATCCAAACATTAGCAAACTGTGACGGCATACTGGATGCAAAGCAGAAAGCCATCACTGAGTTAGACAAGTGCTGGCACCATTGATTCGCTAACACTCAACGGAGAGAAGAACTACTGAAGAACGCTGTGCTCAGGGCTGCCCGACTGTGCATGTGGACGGAGGAATCACAGCTACAAGCAAGAGTACATAACCCCCAGAGTGTGCAACGCCTGATCCAGCTCTGCATAGGGTCTTGGTCGAGCGGAATCGGATCTTTGCGTCATAATACCGTACACATCTGAGGGGAACCCGGGGAGTCGCGGGTACTCTTGGATCAAAAACAATGGTGCCCTGCCTCGAGACCGGCCTTGCGCTGGTGTGAAGTGTACGCATGACATCAGAAGATCCGATTCCGCTCGACCAAGACCCTACACAGAGCTGGATCGGCGTTGCACACTCTGGGGGGTTATGTACTCTTGCTAGAAGGGAAGCAGTATACGGTATATCCTCTGCGGCGAACGTGTCGGAAGATGACGAAGACGTAGCAGAAACAGGTCTGCTTGCAACTGTGCTGGCGGCAGTCAAGTGGCTGGTGGCAAGGCTAGCATCTCCAGGTGGGGCAGCGTAAAGCAATGATGCTAACTCTTGGAGCTTGGTCTCCGATTCACTGGCATTGGGTACATTCAGCTGGACGCGCAGAGCCTCCAATAGAACAGCATTGGTCGCATTGGCTCGGATGTCCGGAGTCTGAGTCAACAACAGCAACTATGCTCTTTTCTGCCCGTTTTGGTTTGGCGTCTGTGTGGGGCCTGTGGCCGTCGAGCGCTCTACAGAAAGCGAGTTCTCATTGGAAAAGCCATCAGTGATGCCATCAGCAACAGCAGTTGCCGACCGAAGCTGCATACGCGACCTGGTCTCTTCCATATCATGCTGGTTTACACTATTGTTATAGCAGTTTACTGCGCACAACGACATACTGAGGCCTCGTCATGGCATGGCGGAGTCGCAGAAACAAAAACTTCGGCTGCAACACGAACTACACTGATAATACTAACGGAATATCTAATCGAATGTCAAAGAGTACATCCTCCAGGAGATGACTCGACGACAACAAAATTTAGTTTACAGAAAATGTAAAAAAATATCCAATGTAAAATTTACGCTAATCACCTCGTACGCTATGCTTTTTTGCCTTGATGACCTGTACTGTAAATTCATTTTTTTCAAGACATAACCTGGGATCAAGAGTCCATAACCGGCCCCAGAGTGTGCAACTCCAGGTTGGGGTCTGGCGCAACGAAATCCAAACATTGCGTCATCCGGTCCCCGGGCAAGCATGGGCGGATGGGGCCATGTGCATATCTCAGTGGTACATCCGGCGGGGGTTCCAAGTTAGTTGAAGGTTGCTTTGAAGCAAGCCACGGAAGTGTCACGTAAAACGTTTGCTCCACGCGTGCACGGGCTATGCAGTGTCAGCAGAACGGCTTTGATTTCACAGTCACAGAATTTTTTTATTTGAAGAGAGTTTCTCTGCTCGTTGTCTGAAAAGCTTGTATTGGGAGAGTTCGTGACTCCGGGATAGCAAGAATAGGCATGGATATACAATGTAGATTTACAAGATTTGATGGAAATAGCTCTTGGCAAACGGCATGAAGAACCGATCGATTTCGATTTTCAATAAATCTCTATCCAGGTGCTGGAAGACTTTAAAACAATTTCCAACACGGAACTCACTCAGTCTCCCACGCGCTGCCTCCACCCTATTCACTAGATCCCCGATCTTTGCTGGCTATGTGTTTTGGGCAACATTACCAACGCAGGCCAAGACCAGCACGTCGATGGATAATTTTGTTGCTAAAATCTCTGCTCAATTATAGGTTTCATGTATATCCTGCTGGTTTGTCTCCTCCTTTGCCTTCTTTGCCTCTTATTTGTATTCTTTTATCTGTTTTACTGCTGTGGTTGGCTTTCACCCTTGTCTCAGTTTTATTGGCCGTCATCATGATGTGCCATGAGATAATGATATAAATACAAATACAAACACTCGACAATCGAGAGAAGAAAATGAGGAGCCCAGATCGAGCAAAAATTGACGAATATCGTCCACAGAGACACTGCACTCCGGCGACAATGGGGAGCGCTTTGCTTTAGGTTCAACAGTGGCCATTGTTCTTCTCTTATCGGAGAGACACTCAAAAGAGAAAACTGTTCGACAACTCTAAAATAATTCTTTGTGTACTTGAGCCTTTCCAGGCGTGTTACGTACAATACCTGGCCATGGCCATATGGATTCGTAAAGAAAGACCCCAAATTGGGCAAACGGGCGAAGTAGGTCCGGGCCAAACTTCCCATTTCGTCATAGCTACTCACTACATGACGTATGAAGTTTGGATTTCGTTGCGGCACTGATTTGTGCTGAGAAGGATCACGAGTTGCACACTCTGGGGGGTATTAGTCGCTTGGGCACTTTCAATTTTCAAAAGTCCTGTGTACATTTGAGTCCAACATTTCTAGCGCTATCCTAGCTGATAGAGTGGGTCTCTAGGAGTGTTTTGGCACTAGGGTGCCATCTCGGAGCTGGGGCATAAGGGAGCGGCGAGTGGAATACTGCGTGTCCAATTTCCTGTACAATTTAGATCATGTAACCATGGTAACGGCGCTGACTCATTCAAAGACTGGCAGAATTTACGTCGTATTGTCGACTTTCCGAGTTGCCTATGTGACTGTAAAGTACACCAGGCACGCAGATACATTGAATGTTTGATGATAGGATGATGTGGACTGTATAGACCTCTTCAGGTTCCTGAAATATCATACTATTTTTGGTTCAAAGCTAGCTACACACTAGAGCACAATCAGGTATGTCCAGTAGAAAGTTACTCCTGTGATTAGTTTATACTATTGCAGAGTTCCATTACTAGATTCAAAGTTCCATAATGTGTGCCAGGATTTTATAGTTTGGTAGTATGAGTCCGTGATGAGGCCCGAGCACTCAGTGTGGCATGACAAATCGGCAAATCACGAAGTACAGTTGGAAACCGCCTTATTGCCATCAAACAATCATCTCGTTATAACACAATCAAGCCTGTCTACCTCAGATAAGCAAGTGTCTTAGTACACTGTTCTTGATATCATAGGTGTCCTCAGTCATGGGACATTTGGTGATTATAAAAAGTACACAGCAAATGTTTAAAACCGGCACCTAAGAAATCACGGGATGGCCCACGCCTGTTATTAAAAATACACCAAAATGATAAGAATTCTCAAGGCAGAGACCAATGCGCAGCAACACGTACACATACAGTGTTTGCATTTGAGCTGCAATTGCAGCAGTTGGCACTGAGTGTCAGTAACACTCTGTTAACAAGTTACGGCCGCGAGATACATGTATATAGCAAGGAGCATGACTTCATGCCTGGCGTCGCGGGTCACAAGAGAAAACCCGAGCATTAGAAATAATATTAATACACAATGAGAGGCTTTGGGATGCGTCTAGGCAATGCAGTGTAGCCATTCACTGTGGAGAGAGGAGTCAGTGACTGCTATTAGGTTGTCGTGCACGGGTGACTTATAACCTAGTTACTTGCAGTGACAGTATCGGTAGGACTAGTAAGTATGCTGGCATAACCTGTACAGGCAAACAGTAGAAATAGCATGGAACATGACCAGGTACAAGTGCACAGCGAACATACTGAGGCGCGCTGTCGAAAAGCACGATGGAAGTGGTTGACCTGGAATGTTCTGTTGGGGACTGCCAGCTACACTTGGTTGAACGCAGCTCACTTCCCCGGTGTAAACACTGTAAGCCAACACACACAAATACATGACCTGTCTCAGCACCAAAGGAAACATCTGCCAGGCACAGAACGCGTTCACGCAGAAGATCTGTGATGGCGTGATACTTCTATGTACTATGGAAGGCTATGCACACATATCCTGATGTAGACTATCTTACAGTATGTTTTACATGGAAGCTACCTTGCTTGGACCAACAGTGTACAATCATGCACAACACACAGCCATGAAAAACTTACAAGTAACTACCTGACACTTGACTAACATTCACACTTGAAACATACTTAGGGAAATCAAACAGGCCTTACCGTGACCAGAAATCCATGGAAAGCTGATGTTCAGCAGTTATTCCGCGATCTCGTGGGAGGGGTGGTCAACATCATCAGTTTGACCATCTTCATCATCAGCACTGTCTTCATTGTCTCCATGAAGTGTAGGTGCTGCAAGCACTTCGGACACAGCATTGTGCGGATTCGCGCAGGAACTGCATTGGCATGCATCGGTGCAAGAAATGGAGGACTGTAGGCATGAGCACCGGCGCGTTGAACATCCAGTGGCGCAGGCACACCGGATGATCGCCATCAGCTCTGGTGGTGCAGGAGGAAGAAGACCCCACATGATCATGACATTAGAGTCGTCTACCCTCCATCCATGATCACTGATGCTGGGTAGGTCTGGGGATGCGACCAGTGCCCGTTTCCACACACCAGCCTGGTAGTTGGCGCGTTTGACGTGCTGCTCCAAGCTATCGGCGCATGGTGGGAGCTGAGCAGGGGGTGGGGACCGAGAGCAAAACGCCTTGTACCTGGCCTCGTTGATGCTCTCGAGTTCAGGGTGACCGTAAAGGTGGCAGACATATTTCTCCACTTCCTTCTGGAGGTTGACTGGCAGCACGAAATTGTCGCCCATGTGTGCTAACGCAATCTGGTGGCTTTGCTTGCTCTTAAGGACTTTCCACGCCTTCTTCTTTCCTATTCGGTAGAAGGAGCTGGTGCTGTCGCAGCCAGTGACCGCATGGAGGCCAAGCAAAGCTGAACACACCTGTGCTCCCAGCTTTTCAGCGACAGCAGAGATGTCCACGATGCGTGAGGCTGCCCGTCTGCCAGTCTCAAACAGCAATCGGGCTGGAATACTGGACGCTAGAGCAATGCACAAAACGAGGACGTCGGTGTCGGGTGACCGAATGACCACTGCCGAGTAGTCTGCACTTGCATGGTAGGCATGAAGCAGCATCCGCGTGTCGGCCTCCTCCTGTGTTGACCGGAGGTTTGGCACCTCTTCATACGCTACGTGGTCACCGTTGGCCTTCAGGAGGTAGGCCATGTCCCGGACTGTTATGACAACGCATCCCCCTTGCCATGCTCACACAAGCACCGACGTCTACCTTACTTTGAGATAGGACAAGTGTCTGCACGGACATGGTCAGCTGGGCAAATGCTGCACCGAAGCTGTCAGTATGACCCAGGGACGGTGCTGTAGTGGACACTGTGGGCTTCGTCAGGCCCTCGAGTGTCCTCTTGTGAGTGTAGTTGGCCAGGCACGAGCGGTGATACTTGATTTCCCTGGCGATTGCATCTCCACCAGACACCTCCCTCAAGACCCGGGAGTCACTGCGAATTGTTGCAGCATTGACGATGTTATTGCTCGCACTGAACGATGTGCATTGGGTCAGTGGCTCCTTTTTCCCACTTCTTCTTTTTGACAGGTGCTGGCAGAATAGGCACAAATTTAAATCTGTCTGGCTCCCACTGGAACGGGTCCGCTTTTTGGGGGGCTCAACATCTCTTTGCTCAGGCTCGCTGTCATCACTGTCATCATCATCATCATCATCACCTTCACTTCCTTCGTCGCCACCAACAGCCTCGACGGGCCGGACAGACTCAGCAACGGCTGTCTTCTTCAAAGTCTTTTTGTTTGTGTACCACTTGTAGCAGGCTTTGTGGTATAGAACTTCGCCGCAAGTTTCTCTATCAAGATTTCCGATCGACATCCGAGTGTCATCTCTCTTCGTCTCAGCTGCATTCCATAGGGTAGTCCAGGTAGTCTCCGTCAAGCGCTTGAGAGGCTGATGAGCAGGAAAATTCGGGTTGTGACAAATGCATTTCACTCCTTCACCTGAAGCTTTCGCCAAGGAAACAGTTTCCAGCCCCAAATCGTCTGCCATGTCGAACAAGACAACTAACAACAGGAATCATAAACACTTGCACCTTCTTATCTGCCATCTACCTGTCTAGGTTGTCGGACAGATCGGCAAAGAAACTTAGAGAGGCCATGCGATCGGCATTGTATGAAAGCAAAAACACAATTGTCGAACCAGTCAAGTATTAAAGTTTGAAATTTAGTCGTGGGCGGACGTCATCATCCTTTTCACTTGCGCAGAATTCGCATATGCGTGTTTTGAGCATGCGCTTAATTTGCACAGTGTTCGTCTTCGTATTCAAACAAGTCGCCGTAACTCCCTTCAGCCCCAACGCAGAAAAGGCACCCAAGCGCGAAATTGTTTGCCCTGCCGATCTCCAACACGTCCAACCACCCACGAAATGTTGGACTCAAATCGACACAGGAAATCAGAAACGAGCACTTTTTGAGAAACCGGCCAACTGACTATTATGGACTCTTGCTGGGATTCGAACCCGCACTATCGCGCCCTGTATGCATCCCCCGGTCTTTAAAAAATTCCTTTTTTTTAAGACATAACCTGTGATTCGAACCGGCACTATCGCGCCCTGCATGCATCCCCCGATACACTTCGCATACATACTAATTCTTCCAAGTTGGAAATGAAGACAATATCCAATATTAGGCAGTTCATAGACCATGTAAAATGTCATGCCACGTTGTAGGCTCGCTCGCCTCTTTTGCTAGCTTATCTCGCCGCTCTCCACCATGGTCAACATAGTGATACATTTCACCCCGCTGATGCATTATTTTCTTCCGATTATCATCTTCTTTCCTTCATTCTTTCTTTTTTTATCTTCTCTTGCCATGGCTGGCTAACGCCCCCTCCTTTGCATTGGCTTCTGCCATTGGACGGTGAAATAATAATAACAAGGCCAAGTAAAAAAAAAAGCTAGATGATCGTCCCCGTCCGCCCCAGTTTTTGTCAGCGCCCCAAGAAATATTTTATTTTTTAAATCGTGAGTTTTTGCCGAAATCGTTGGTTTTTTACCGATCGCGGATGCAGGAAACATGTGCACACTTTGTTTAATACTTTCTTTACTATATGGACCACATACTACTAGTATATCACAACGTCAGTATCGATCTGCTGAAGAAAGAAAAAGAAAAAAAGAAAAAAAAAGAAAAAAAAAGAAAAAAAACCTTGATGTTGTTGTGTACACTGTGTGCATGAGAGGGTAAAAAGTAAAAAAATAAAAATAAAATCCTCCCGCCCTCCCCGATTTTTCCAAAAAAAAGGACGATCATCTAGTAATTTTTTTTACTCGGCCTAATAATAATTATGATCTTGCATTTGAAAGCCCTATTTGAATATGCATTGTGGCCAGCCGTCTTTGAATGTACGGTACGGTAGGGATAGGTACGGGACAGGTACGATCGAGGGTAATATGACACCGTCTCCCGTACCGTACCATCAAACACAGCTGGCCACATACAGCTGCCCGCAATATTCAAATAGGGCTTTCAAACGCAAGATCATACCGTGAAGCAACTTGGAAGAATGGGTATGAATGCGAAGTGTATGGGGAAATGCATGTAGGGCGATAGTGCGGGTTCGAATCCCAGGATATGCCTGAAAAAATAGGGGAATTGAAAAATTTATAACATCCCTATGATTTTTGCCGTCAGATATGGGATAGCGCCAGGCGTGACACAAACAAACAAACAAAGACACAAACAAACAAATACCAAACGAGAGAGCTTGGAAGCTCAGGGCCCTGCGCTATGCTTTGTTGCCTAGCTCATCGTGCATGTTGTTAGAACTGATGGAAATGCTTTTTCCTTTGATTAGCTAAATCATTGTTTTGCAAAAACGTTTCAATGAGATACTGAAGTACAAGTAACGTCTTCCTTCTGCATAGCTATGGGACCGGCGCTGACTCTGCCGATGACGGGCGTTCTGGAGTCGACGGGATGTCTGTCCTGACGTTTCCTGGGACCGGCGCTGACTCTGCCGATCACGGGCGTTCTTCTTCTTCTTCTTATTATTATTATTATACTGACGGCAACTAACATCCATTCTGATTGCATTTACTCGTCTCCCTACTTCGTATTTCTTTCCAGAAAATCTCCCCATACAGCAGGGAGTCGTTTACATAATATGACTCCCTGCTATACATCTACATGACTGTATATACGTTATAATTATTATGCTATCGGCCTACATGCGATTTCCGGGCTGGTCGACAGGCGGCCCAGCCAGCCTGCTAGTGGGATCTCGGCCTCGCACACAAATCCACACAAAATTTAGTGTTACTGCACTGAATGCATTCCCCCCATACACTTCGCATATATACTCATTCTCTTGATGGTACCGTACTCTTGATGATACGGGACAGGTACGGGATAGCGCCAGGCATGTCGATGGCACAAACAAACAAAAATATTGTGGCCAGCTATCTTTGCTGGTACGGTACAGTACGGGATAGATACAAAATAGCGCCAGGCGTGACACAAACAAACAAACACACAAACAAACACCAAATTAAAGCTGTGTGGACCCTGGCTAGCGCCAGACGTTACTGAAGTAACGTCTTCTGCATAGCTACGGGAATTAAAGCTGTGTGGACCCTGGCTAGCGCCAGACGTTACTGAAGTAACGTCTTCTGCATAGCTACGGGAATAATTACTACTACTACTACTCCGAACTCAATGTTGTTTTTGCAGCTGTGTAGCCCGCATTGGGCACGGGGGCACGTGCACCCCCTAAAAAATGTGAATCTGGGTTCAGCACGCGCATAATGACCATGAATGATATGGTTGGTTGGTATATTTTATTTTACTTCGCCAGAATGAACAGGCATTGCTGCCTTCTTGCCTGGACAAGTGGATTGTCCAAGCTCTCACAAAAAGACGAAGAAAGGAAAGAAATATTACATGAGAGTGTGAAGCATGCAATCTTATAAAATAAAAAAATAAAATAAAAATTTCCATGAGAGTGTGACGCATGCATGATGAGAGAGGAGAGATAGATATAGATAGAGAGAGAAAGAGAGAGAGAGAGAGAGAGAGAGAGAGAGAGAGAGACTGCTTTATTGCCTGGACAAGTGAACTGTCCAAGCTCTTACAAAATGACCAACAACAACAACAACAGCAACGGCAACAACAACAGCGACAGCGACAACAACAACAGACCAACAACAACAGCAACGGCAACACCACAGCAGCAGCAACAACAACAGAGAGAGAGAGAGA